GGTGCCTGTTTAGGTGTGTGAAAGTGGCTACTTCCTTTGAATTTCTCCCCTTGATGGTGGTTGTTACTTGTTGTTGATGCAGTAGTTCGTTGAGTATCTTCAACACCTGCGTCTTCTCTGTATTCACGTGAAAACGGTCCATCCTTTGCTGCCTTTCCTCTTGTGTAAACTTGCTGTTTTTCGCCTGTAGATTTTCGAGTTTGTGCGATATTATACAAGAATCATCGTTGGCGAAATTCAATCTTCTTCTGAGGTTTTTTTATTGGTCCAGCCAGCGTATGCCCGTTTTCTCGCTCCTCGCGGTTCGCTGCATAATCCAGTACACCACAAACAGGAAGATGATCGGTGATAATAGTTGACAACCTTTTCTTACTCCCATCTTCACTTCAAAGGCATCACTCAGCTTTCCATTGTGTCACGAATCATTTGGCACTTGGCGTTGTCATTTAGATATTGAGTGATCTCGATGAATATTTGTTGCACTAAAGCCGTAGTGTTGAAGCAGCTGGCTGCCAGGTTACTACTCGGTCGACGTTGTTGAAGGCCTTTTCAATGTCGATGAATTTGAGGCAGAGAGTTGACTGCTATTCTATTCTGTGTTCTGTGATGATATGTAGCTTAGTGTTGCAATTTGATCAGCGTGTGATTTGTTCTTCCTGAAGGCAGCCGGCCAGCCTGTTCCGGTCGTAATTTTCAACGTAGAGCGTCTTTTTGTCTCTCCAGGATGATGCGGCCTAATATTTTGCTTGTTTTGTGTGGACAGGAGCATGATTACTTGCCAGTTCTTACAAATCCTTAGGTCGCTCTTCTTTAAGAGCATGACAAGGTAGCCCTTCTTCCAGTCGCTAGGCAGGTACCTTTCCTTCTTTCCAAACCTACTGCAATAGTGGTGTGATCATGCCCACAGTTGTCTCTGCGTCTGTTTTCAGTGCTTCTGGTGTGATTGCACCTGGTCCTGATACTTTCCCGAATTTCAGCAGTTTTATGGCATACGTTACTTCCCTTTTTGTCGGACGGCCCATGTTCACTTGTACTTCTGCCGTTGCTGGTGGTATTTCCAAACAAGTTGGAGGTAGTGATCGATTCAAGAGCTTTTTCAAATGGTCAGTTCATTGTGTCCTTTGTATCTCCCCTTAGGTAACTAGCTTTCCTTCAATATCTTTCATTGGTTTCGTTTGAGTTTATCTCATCGCGGATAGTAACCTTTTTATTTGATATCATGTTGCCATTCTTACTCATCATTTCACTGATTGCTTCTCGACTCATGATGAGTCCTCTTCCTGTGTTGTCCGCTCCCAGGTTGGCGTTCATGTCACTCCACCCATTAGAATGAATTTTGATGTCGCCATCTGGTTGGGGTCTTGTCCAGTACTGATTGCAGTCGTCTGTAGAATTCCTCCTTCTTCTCTTCATCCGCATTATTTGTTGGAGCTTAGCATGTGTGATTGTGAGTTTCCTTTCTTTTGAGTTAAACCTTGCTGTCATGATCGTAGGGGAGACTGGTTCCCACTGCATGATAGTTTTCAATGATCTTGGAGACATCACGACAGGCACTCGAAAACTCAGTGTGCTTGTAGTTGTCGTCTGGGTGACAAAATATGAGTATATTATTGACTTCTCTCCAGTTGACAGTTTAGAGAATCTGCTTCCATTCCATCTGCTTTCGCAGATTCCAAGCAGTTCTATGCCATATCTTTTGATTTCTTTTGCAATCTGGACAGCCTTGGTAGGTTCATACATGTTTACATACATACATGTTTACTTTTACTTTCATCGAGAGTAGGGAAGCCACATCGGCCAATAGGCATCTCGAAGGCTTTCAGCAACCGGCATCATATCGTCTCTCCGATTCCAGCTAGGAGTAAGTTTATTTTTATTTCTCATATTTTGTTTGTGCTTTGAAGTTTCTTTAGCATTTGGACTGGTTTTGTGGGGTAGGGTTGTTAGCCCTATGCCAAACCTTCCCCTTTTATCCGGGCTTAGGACCAGCTAGTAACTAGTGAACAATAAATATGGCTGAACATTTATGCTTCATATTTATTCCGGTGTCATATTACCTACCACTGTTAATTTATTTCATGTGAAGATAAATAGTTGTTTTTATTTAGAGGTGACAGATTTGCATATATATCATTCTTCATAAATGATATTCAGTGTTGTCAACTTTAAATTACGAAAGATATATGTGTATGTATATATATATATATATATGAAGTTCATTTTGTAGCGAATTGGTTTTTAAAACCAGACATCGTCATAGTTCAACTGAACCCATTAAAAGCTGTAAGTATTCTCTTTTCTGTACCTTGTTTGAGTATTTCTTTGATTCAAGCTTATAGCTTCTCATTTTCTGTTGATTACATCAGATACCAATGTATTTCTCTATGAATATTGTACCTCCAACACATATTCTTTTATGCATTCTATCTTGTTTCATCTCCTCATGTAAGTACAGTAACTAATAGGTATCATAATTATACTAATTATAATTATACATAATTATACTATCGCGAGTACTATTTTTATCGATCGAAGGATATTATTCAAAGTGAAACATATTTTATTACTGAATAGTGTTTACAATTTATAACTGTAATCTTCTTAACATAAAATCAAGTTATCAGAAGCTTACCAGAAATGATATCGTTTTAGTTAAGGAATACTCCTCATCTGTCTACAGTCTAAAAGTAAAATGGTTATCAAGGCATGCGATATTAGGAAATCAATAACCCCTAGTTATACACCTAAGTTATTGATAACCTATATAATGTGTAAGAAAACTAGTCGTACATAAATCGAAAATATGAGGAAAGAGCAATTAAGGCTAGATAACAAAAGGTAATTAATATTCAGAATTATATAGTGAAAATGAAAATGATACAGGATGAAGGCATATTTACCAAGAGAATGAAAGATGAAGCATATTCTTCTTCTGCATGTAAAGGTTAGCTTGAAACGTTTTGTAGCACAGATTCATGGGGAATATATTCGGTGGATGGAATGGAGAGCCTTTTCTCAGTTACTTTAAAATACTTGCTATCAAAAATGCCTACGAATTCACAAATCCAGTTGAAGGTAATTTCTAACTAGTTCAAAGAGCATACCGTAGTGTATACTGGTACTAGTCTAGATGTAGGAAAGTTCCTTCTAACTGTTCCTTTGATTCTTGTGTGTATTCTATAAGATATTACTTCTGACTCAAATGTAAGGTAATATAAAAACTTTCCACAGATGAGTGTTTATTTCTTATTTTATTCTGCAAATTTCTTCTTCTTTCTTCTACTGACATTGAAAACATTTATTTGACAAAACAATTTCTTCTTTACCCTTCATTCACTTATGCATTTACATGTGTGAAATTTTAATCAAGTAAAATACTATTATCATTTGACTATCTTAGATAGCCGTAGTTTGGTAGACTAGTATCTTATATGAGGTGATGATTGAAGGTGAAATGACAAGTTGAACAATGACCGGATTCGAATCACTGACAACCGGGTTACGGGCCCGGTGCTCTACCAACTGAAATATGAGGTCCGACTGCTGAAAAGATTTTTATTTCATTTCAATCACAAGCCACCCGACTACTATGTGAGTTCGTGTAGCGTTACTACTTCGTGATCGTATTCACACTGGCTTCCCACACTCAGGTCTTTTCATCCTAATCATCATACTGATCATATTGATACTAGTCTGCCAAACTACGGCAAGTGAAAATGATAATCAAGATGGTGCTTACTCTCTCTAATTTAGTTACATTTGGATTGCGATGAGAAGTCCTGACTAGGCAGCCAGTGTGAATACGATCTAGCGGTAGTAATCCATCATGAATCCATATAGTAGTCATGTAACACCGTTGATGACTGAAGTGAAATAGGAATCTGGTGAGCAGTCGGACCTGATAACTCAGTTGGTTGAGAATCAGGCCGTAAACCTGGTTGTCGATGGTTCGAATCCGGCCGTGGTGCAAATTTTCATCTTACTTTCAATCATCACTCAGTATAAAATGCTATTCATAAAAGCTTTAACCTTTAATAATCAAGTGCTATGTGATGAAAGTGAAATGTAAACTGTGTATTCAACAAATAAAACGTTTATTAGAGGTTCAGTTTGGAGTATATGTCTACAGTAAAATGTAACATTATATAAATCTCTTTCCTTATCATTTATCTTGGTCAACTAATTCTATTCACTAGACAATATGGTATATTTCTTTCTGATTCAAACAACATACACCATAGACAGTATCTATTCGATGACCTATACAAATACAATGTAAAAAAACATGGAATTCTAGTCATTTAGTTTAACGATTACTCAAGTAGTGTATATTGTGCAAGAATACTTAGCTTCAGGATATAGTGATAAAAATTTACAATAGCAGATAAAAAAGATGATAACTATTTTCATTCATTATCAGTATAATTTAACACAGTTTTATTACATGGTATGAATGATTAATAACCTCCAAAGACTAATATTTATTGATTGTATATGATATATAGTAAGTCACTTCCTTTAACTTTGAAATTATGATTAGCAGTACAGTTATATCGACTTTCATAGAGTAAAGACAGTAAGATTATATAATAATGATAGATAATGGTTAGTAGTGGAATCCATGATGTGCATTTCGTCCTACTAGATATTCATCATATAGATGTAACAATCTCCCAACTAGGAATCGAATTCAGGATAAGTCAAGAGTAATCACATAAATCACTCATCTTATTTCATTCTTAGGAATGTGTGTAAAGCAGCCATTATTGAACAAGTAAAGAAAAATGCTACTTTTATTATTATCTGCAGCTTATAGTAGTGTTAATTTGATATATTGAACATTTAAATGTATAATTGTTTTACTGTACAGGATTTATAATCTAATTAAACACCTTAAGACAACTTCGTTTTTATTGAATAATTAGTAATGAAAGTTTAATTTACATTGAAATTAATAAAAGTTTATTAGTTATTTAAACATATTGAGAAGGATTACTTACAAAATACACCCTTGAGGTATTCTTACTCCTAATGTTATTGCATCAGCCAATGATAGAACTGTCATCAATACATAAGCTGATGCTGTAAACCTTTTACGTATAAATACACTGAAATTGATCAAATTCAATAAAAATCCAATTGAACAAATTGTTGTTTGAACAAATACATATGCTATAGCAATTATATAATGATAGTCAATAGAAGTTGTTTGAAATGAAGTAGCTTCTTGATAAGAATTATTATTATCATTTGACAAATTGGTTGTATTCATCTTCAGAAAGTTGAAGTTCTTTCTAAAACATGGTAAATGAAAAGAGAAAAAAAAGGAAAAACGTTTCATTTACGAAAGAGAAATAATTGAGTACCTCTCTCTCTCTCCCTCTGTATATATATATATATATATATATATATATATATATATATATATATATATATATAATTATTTAATTATTTTTCCTTCGGTTCCTAGTGGAGGATAGGGATTCAGTAGCACGCCTCCATTCCACTTTTTCTCTGCAATCTTCGATACTTGGCTCCACGACTGCCCATAAGTTTTCATTTCTTCCTCACATGATCTCATCAATGTCACCGTCGGCTGACACGCCCAACTCGTCGTTTCCCCTTTGGATTCCATTCCAGGGTTTCGCCTAACATGACGCATGATATCCCCAAATAGTCTTCTCAATCTGTTTCCAATCCAATACACTCCCATCTTCTTCTTCTGTATATTTGTTCGACGATAGCTTCTTAGTTGGTTGATTCGTTGTCAGGCACACTGACTTCCTCCTTGTTTATTCTTATTACTCTGCCGTATGCGCCAACTGTTGATGAATGTCAGTAGTTCGTTGGAAGTGCTTTTCGTGACGCGAAGTCTCCCAACCATCACATAGAAGCACAGACTCATTTGACTGAATCGGTGTTCAAAATGCGGATGCTGTTCACGCTTTATGCTGATTGCAGCAAATCTTCATACCAATTTCAGATTAATAAAGGCCTGTCTTCATGTATTTCCGATCTTCGTTCTGACATCCTCGTCTATGCCTGTGCCGCCTGCAGTTGAAACGATGCTGCCTAGATAGGTGTAGATGAAAGTGACTACTTCCGTATATTATATATATATATATATATATATATATATATATATATATATATATATATATATATATATATATACTATGACTACAGACTCAAAGTATCTGTTTGAATATTCATTGCACGCTTATGATTTCAAATTAATTTTGCAGTTCATTGATCCTTCTATAGCACTTAAACAAACCATTTTTGTTACTATTACTTACAGTGTTACTAAAAACATATTCTCCTGTATTTTGGATTAAAAATGTTCACAAGCGAAACATATTTGATAATATACCTTAGGAGTTTACAATATTTATTTTAAATTGATGATGTGTTGAATGCGAAATTGCTCATTATCATCATCTGTCGATTAGATTCCTAGTTGAACATACGGCTTCAGTAACAGGTTATCATTTCACTCTCTTCTCTGTAATCTTCCATACCTGGCTCCACCACTGCCTACAAGCTCTCATTTCTTCCTCACACAATCTCCTCCAACTCATCCTGGGCTCACACGCCCAACTCATTGTTTCCGATTTGGATTCCACTAGACGATCTGGTCTGACATGTGATGTCCACGAATGGTTTTCTCAGTGCGTACTAAATCCATCTTCACTTTCCTCTTCTGCATATTTGTTGTGTGATGGGTTCTTGCTTCGTTGGTTCGTTGCCAGACTTCCTCCCTGCTTATTCTTATTATTCTCACCATCTCTCTGATCTTCAGTATGGAGTGAGTGTAGGCGTGTATGGCAGCTGTTGATGAATGCAAGTTTTGTGAACCACCACATAGAAACATTGACTTGACGTTGGTGTTGAAAATGAGGATGTTGTTCACGCTTTGTGCTGAGTGTAGTAGATCTCCACACTGATTTCACATTAATGACGGCCTGTCTTGCTTTTCCGATCCTCATTTTGACGTCCTCATCTGCGCCACCTGTAGTTGAGACGGGTCTGCCTACGTAGGTAGGTGGCTGAAAGGGACAATATCGTTTAGATTTCTCTCGTTGATGATGATTGGTGCAGACACAGTAGTAGTGCTTTATATCGTAATACGCATCCTCTTTTATTACTGGTCTGTATATCAGCTCATTGAAGAGGCAAGAAAGTAATAAAAACACTCATTACTACGAATATTACTCATTCATTCATTCAATAATTCATTTCTTCTGGAAACAACTTTTACTACCAGTGAATTCCCCCAGAAAACGTTTTACATATCACTGGACAAAATATTCTTTAATGACAACACTTTTGAAAAGGATAACTTATGATCAGCTTACTCAACACTATGGTAAGTGTTAATAATAAAATTAGCGAATGAGATACAATTCCAAGGCAAAATAGAACTTTTGCTCATCTTGATGACCTACAGCGGAATCCAAGACGCGTGTTTCATCCCTACGCCCTAGTGAGTGAGACTCAAACGTAGTACACATCGCCTCCAATTCCGATGCGTCACGCACTTGGCCACTGAGGCATGACGACCACCTGTTGTGTGACGGATCCCAGTTGTTTTTATGCTTGTAATTTCTGTTTGTCATACCGGGCGAACAGGTCGACTTCTGCTGTCAGAAGGGCTATTTTGCAAATGTCCCGATGCCACAAAAAATTAACCATATTGTATTCATCAGGAAACTACAAGTATCAGACAATAAAACAGAACTTTCTAAACTATATTTTGACCAAAACTATGGTTTATTTCCATTGGGTCATGTCCAAGGTGCACATGGAAAGTATATTTTAGCAACATTTAAAAATATGGAATACAAACCTTCACTAAACGTTTTGTTCAATTTCAGGTGATCATGACAACCAATCAAAATAAACATTAGTGACAATGACAAGACTTTGACAGAAGCGAACAGTCACGCACTAAGATATCTAGACAAGCTACTAAGTCGGTTGTGAAGAAAATCCTATAGGTCTCCTCTTCGTGAACTTTGTTGCTAACGATGTTGTCCACAATGACAATAAACACTCCACCATTACATCATCCAGCTCAGAGAACACAACACCATTTTGCCATATATATATATATATATATATATATATATATATATATATATCTTGTGTCTAATGTCTCACAAACTCGAAGATCTACAGGCAAAAACTAACAAGTTGACAGAAGAAGCAGGACAGCAAAGACGGGACTTCCTTCAGGTGAACGTAGAGAAGACAGAGGTGATGATCATACCCAACCAACAACAACAAGCTGCAATCACCATCAGCGGAAGAAACACCAATAAAGCAGCCTCTTTCACCTACCTACCTACCTACCTACGTCTATACCAGACAGGATCAGAAAAGCAAGACAGGCTTTCATCAACCTGAAACCAGTTTGGAAATCTGCTTCACTGCACTCAGCATAAAGTGTCAACAACATCCGGATTTTCAACACAAATGTCAGTCGAGTGAGTTAGTGCTTGTGTGTGATGGTTGAGAGAGTTGGCGTGTTACGAAAGGCATTTCTAACGAACTGTAGATATTCATCAAGAAGTGCTTCCGCTGGCTCGTTACTGAAGATCAGATGGCCAGAAAAAATAAGCAAGGAGGATTTCAGGCAATGAATCAACCAAGAACCTATCACCTAACAAATATGCACTGGAAGGAATTGGAGATGGATTGGGCATACACTAAGAAGACTGATTAGGGACATCACGCACCAGGCCAGGTCATGCTCTCGAGTGGAATTCAAAGAGGAAGCGACGAGTTGGGCGTGTGAGCTGAGGGTGAGATCGAGAGGATTGTGTGAGGAAGAAACGAAAGCTTGTGGGCATTAGTGGAGCCAGGTTTAAAAGACTGAAGGGAAGAGAGTGGAATGGAGACGTGGTCCTGAATCCCCATGTTCCACTAGGAACTGAAGGGAAAAATAATAATACAATAGAAGATAAAAATTACTGTCCAACGACCGACAGAGATAATCTTCACATTTCAGTCGCGGATGTTTAGTTCAGCGAGTAAAGCAATAATTATGCAGTGGATGAACAATATACAATGATCATTTACAAATGATAGTAAGTCGGAAGACAAATAACCGACGTAAATATTGTTAGGATTCGTCACTCAGTATAAAGTGACAAATTATACCCATTTATTCATTAACAAGAACAAGGCATGTATCAACTCAGAAGATATATTTCCTTTCTTCAACAACTTCATCATATCAACCTGTAAACCAGTCCTCGTTATACTCCGTAGAGAAAATCACACATAATTGCACTAAACACAGACTTGCTCAAACAATATGCAAAAATATACAATCAGTGTAGGTGGTCAGGTGGTATTTATTCAAGTGGAAGAGATAAGAAATGGGCCAATGTGAATAAGGAACGAATTGATAACAGATGGTGAGATAAGAGACATGTGTTGTCATACAATTGTAAAGTGGTGATAATTGAACTCAAACATACAAAACAGGTGAATGAATAAGGAATGAATTGATATAAAATAGTGAGATATGGGTGAAATGTTATCAAAGAAGTCAAGAATTGGTGATGATGATGATGATGATGACGATGACGACGGTATACTTCTCTTTTATTATTATTATTATTATTATTATTATTATTATTATTATTATTATTATTACCAATTCTTGACTTCATTGACAACATTTCACCCATATCTCACTATTTTATATCAATTCATTCCTTATTCATTCACCTATTTTGTATGTTTGAGTTCAATTATCACCACTTTACAATTGTATGACAACACATGTCTCTTATCTCACCATCTGTTATCAATTCGTTGCTTATTAACATTGGCTCATTTCCTATCTCTTCCACTTGAATATAAATACCACATGACCACCTACACTGATTGTATATTTTGCATATTGTTTGAGCAAGTCTCTGTTTAGTGCAGTTATGTGTGATTTTCTCTATGGAGTATAACGAGGACTGGTTTACAGGTTGATATGATGAAGTTGTTGAAAGGAGGAAATATTTCTTCTTAGCTGATACGTACGTGACTTTTACTTAGCATAAAGTTTAAAGATGGAGATCTAATGTTCATCATTCTTCGAACTACCATAATTTAGTGGTTCATGTAATTCCTTCCTGAATAGAAGGTCACACTCTAACAATTTCAGCTGAGTAAAAAGCTTTCAACGCTACATTTATTCAAAGTTCATTATTGAATGACTCAAAGTAAATGATGTAAAAGTAGTTATCCTTCGAAATCTATACACGTATAAACGATTATACCACATTTG